CCCCTGGGGAAGCCTCTGAAAGCGGCACTTTGCCGCGCGCGGGGGGGGGGGATGGGGGGGCTGGGTTAAATAAAGATGGGTTAAATAAAGCTCACATTCATGAATGCAGTACTTTACAGCTAGTGGACATTCATATACTCCCAGACAAAAATGCAAACACACCTATGCATAAGAACCAAACATCAGTCTTTCTCTAGGTATGGCTACTTAAACATGTTTCTTATTATTTGCATAAGATGGCTAGTTTCTACATTCTTAAATCTGTCTTCATTTGTAAGACTGTTAGAATATTTTCAGACGTTCAGCAGATTCACAAGTTTGAATACAGCAGAACCGCTGTATCCGTGGGATCAGTACACACAGTTTCACCTATCAGCTGCCTGAAAGTATCACATAACTGCCGCCAGAAATAGGGGTTTTCAATATGTATTACCAAAACTGGCCACTAGAGTGGATCAAAGACTATGCTATATATAGGGTTCATTAATTTGTGATTTCCAGCACCTGTAGGGGAGGCATGGACAAACTGTGACTTTCCAAACTTTAGACATCTACTGTGAAATACAGAATTCTTCAGAGAGGGGGGCCATATTTGTTTCAGCAACAAATTCAAAAACAGCAGCTGTGTGGAAAGAAGTGATCTGCAATTTAGGGAGGTGGCCTCCACCCCTTGGACTCTCAACTGCAGAGTCCCTCAGGGGTTGATCATCTCCCCATTGCTGTTTAATGTCTATATGAGGCTGCTAGGGGAAGGCATCCAGATCCAGTGTGGCACGTCACCAATATGCAGATGACATGCAGCTCTAGCTCTCCTTCCACCTTTCTGCAGTGGATTCCATCCTGTCCCTTGAGCGCTATCTGGCTGTGGTACTGGAGTGGATGGGGGCCAACAGATTGAGACTGAACCTGCACAGGTCTGCAGATTAGGTGCCTCTCTCTCTTTTTTTGGGCGGGGAGGGGAACTACCCAAGGTTTGGAGCTTGGGCATTCTTCTGGACCCAGAGTTGTCAATGGAGTCCCAGATAGCATCTGTGATCTCCTCCGCCTATTTCCATCCAAGGCGGATTGTTCAGCTGCATCCCTATCTTAACATCAGGTCCCTTATCACATTGATCCATGCATTGGTAGTCTCAAGATTAGTTCCTCCGCTTATTTCCATCCAAGGCGGATTGTCCAGCTGCATCCCTACCTTAACATCAGGTCCCTTATCGCATTGGTCATGCATTGGCAGTCTCAAGATCAGACTACTGCAACACTTTCTTCATGGGGTTACCTATGAGGCTGTCACACAAACTCTAACAGGTCCAGAACTCAGTAGCCAGACTCACTAGAGTGGAGTGAATAAATATCAACATGTCACTCCAATTCTGGCTGCCTTACACTGGTTACCTGTCCATTTCTGTCCAGCTTCAAGGTGACAGTTTAACCTATAAAGCCCTAAACAGTTTGGGACCTCACTATCTGGCAGAAGGCCTACTTCCAACAAGATCTGCCAGTCCTACAGGAACATCCCAAGCAGTCCGGCTGAGGATGCTAAACACGAGAGAAGGTCGGAGGGAGAAGACAAGAAACCGGGCCTTCTCGGCAGTTGCTCCTCGGATGTGGAATGAACTCCCCCCTGCAATTTGCTTGGCCTCTTTGCTGGTGATATTTAAAAAGTCACTAAAAACATGGATATTTAGGCTAGCATTGCTCAGCTGAGTCTAATTAGCCTATTTGTCCAATGTCTGCTATCTTAAATTTTTTAAGTGCTTTGAATGTTTTTAAATGTTTTATTTTGATGCATTTTTTATGTTTTGAGTTTATTGCTTATTTATATTTTCTTATTTCCATTTTTTGTTATGTTAAATGGTACATGGTGGGATTTATATCTTGTAATCTGCCCAGAGTGGCATAAAAATGGAATGAATGAATGAATGAATGAATGAATGAATGAATGAATGAATGAATGAATAAAAAAATATTCAGTGATATTTCTCCAATAGAATGAATCAATTCCTAAATATAATTCTAGTTATTACACTTAAAAATGAAAAGCCATTTACATCCATATATTAGTCTTATTCCAAAATGCTGTAAAAGAGCTTACCCATCTGAGTTGCCCATCGCTGGTGAGCTGCCTATAGAACCCTCGAAAATCACTGATTATTTCATCCAAGTCTTTATTGACCACATGAACTGCAAGGGCGTTGACTGCACAGACAACTGCAAAATGCACCAATGTTTTTTAGGGTTTTGACATGATTTTCCCAGTATTATCTTGTGATCTCATAGCAAATAAATAAGTAAGTAAGTAAGCAAGCAAACAACTGTTGCAGTGATGTGCGTGTTGCTTATTAGGCAGGACATTCTGCAAAAGAAATAAATGAAAGTTTAATTGAGTGTGAAGGCCATATCATGCAATCATGACTCTGACTAAGGGTGCAAGCAGACTGATATTTGTCCAGTTGTTTTGTCCACTTGCAGAAAAGAGTTGGTTTGCCCCTTTTCCAAGGATCTGAGGATGTAAATGCTAGAGCAAATCAGCCCATCCTTAAGAGTGTTCCTACTTGTACCTTTCTGAGTCCCTGTCGGGGCTACTGTTTTTTTGGTGCTGCTAGGATTGGTCATGGAACAACTGAGTGGTTCAAAATTGGGAAAGGAGTACGGCAAGGCTGTATATTGTCCCCCAGCTTATTTAACTTATATGCAGAATACATCATGCGGAAGGCTGGACTGGAAGAGTTTTTTGGTGCTGCTAGGATTGCTCCATCTTGGGTTGTTTCCAGCACAAGTAATTGCAGGAGTCGAACCAAAGTGGAACTTGTGACTTTAAATTTCCCTTCTGTTTTCATTTTCACAATATTGTGAAATGGCTTAAGAAGGAAGCCTAGCCATGTCACAATAATGGGAAATTAAAAACGTCTTCCCCTCCTCCCTAGAGCTTACTACGACAACGACAGCGCTTATGTGCTTAAGAAGGCAGCCTAGCCATGTCACAATGGGAAATTAAAAAGTCTTCCCTTCCTCCCTAGAACTTACTACGACAACGACAGCGCTTATGTGCTATACCAGTTAGAAAAAACAAAAACATTTGAAAACTTCCTCCAGCCTAGCCATGTCACAATGGGAAATTAAAAAGTCTTCCCTTCCTCCCTAGAACTTACTACGACAACGACAGCGCTTATGTGCTATACCAGTTAGAAAAAACAAAAACATTTGAAAACTTCCTCTCTGACATGAGAAAAGAGGGAGGTGCAAGGGAGGGGATTGTTTTTGTTTGCTTGTCTTTAACAGGGAGCCAGACCAAACAGAGTCACTTTGGATTAAAGAAAAGAGGGAGGTGCTTGTCTTTAACAGGGAGCCAAACCAAACAGAGTCACTTTGGATTGCATCCAAACAAAAACATTTGAAAACTTCCTCTCTGACATGAGAAAAGAGGGAGGTGCAAGGGAGGGGATTGTTTTTGTTTGCTTGTCTTTAACAGGGAGCCAGACCAAACAGAGTCACTTTGGATTGCATCCAAATGGCACACTGGACCTATACAAACCTTAAGGTAAAGGTAAAGGTTCCCCTTGACATTTTTTGTCCAGTCGTGTTCGACTCTAAGGGGCGGTGCTCATCCCTGTTTCCAAGCCATAGAGCCAGCATTTTGTCCGAAAACAATCTTCCATGGTCACATGGCCAGTGCGACTTAGACACGGAATGCTGTTACCTTCCCACCGAGGTGGTCCCTATTGATCTACTTGCATTTGCATGCTTTCGAACCGCTAGGTTGGCGGGAGCTGGGACAAGCGACAGGAGCTCACTCCATCACGTGGATTCGATCTTACGACTGCTGGTCTTCTGACCCTGCAGCACAGGCTTCTGCGGTTTAGCCCACTGCGCCACCACGTCCCTATCAAACCTTAAGCCACTTTATTTAGCTTGCTCCAGCTTGCTCCAATGGAGCAAGTGTAAACGAGCCCTAAGCCACACAAGAACATGGACTGGCTTGTTCAAAATGTTCAAATAGTTCTTCCATCTAATATAGAATCTGATCAAGACTCAAAAATAAGATCCAGTTGTGAACAAGATCAGCATTTTGAGCAGTTAGTTATAACTCCTAATGGAAGCAGTGACATGCTTGAAAAGAAAACATGTAGTTCAAGTAGGAGCAACTTGTGACTCTCCAACCAGCATTTCTCACAATTGCTTCTGTTAGTTTGGGCTCATGGAAATGGCAGTCCAAAAACATTAGCTTGCCACACTTTGCCCATTCCTGCTATAGAGAATGGTCCAGATTCAAGGGGAAGCCCATTCTTTTCTATTTTGTAGGAAGTCACCATCAGCCTTGAGCCTATTATCTATTCCTTTTCATTTATATCTCAGAGGATGCTACTGGTGACTTCTGGTGTTACTGTTAAACAACCCTAGTAGTCCAAGCTTGGAAAACAGTACAGTAGTTAAATTCGGGTTAGTAAAATTTGAATTAAACTGTGACTTCAAATCTTGGTTTGTTCACTGCCCAAGGAAAACCTTTCTAGTCTGAAATTCAATTTCAGAGAAATCCTTGAAGGTTGTGTGCCAGTAGCTGGTGGCTAGAAGGATCCAAGACACATGCTGTGGTGTGGGGCCCAGAGTTCCGGTATATTTTTAGCCCAAAGGTTGTGCTGCTAGTTAAGGCAGGCTTTGGATAGCATTCTATCCTTTTAGAATGGAGGGGGAAACTGTACAAAAGCTGGCATAAGGAAGGTGTCACAAAAGCCAAGAGGGCAAGATTCAATTAGTCCCAGGGTCTAAGATTCTCTACCTTTCAAGAAAAGGTTAAACAAATCAGTTTCCTAAGTTGACACTTAACAAGAAAATGTGAATGGGTTAAGAAATCCGAGCTTCCAGCGTTCTCCCCTGGGAAATATAAGAAGGAAAGCAGAAATATGTGAGGCCAAGGCTTGCTGTGACAAGTCTGTATCAATATACTATCAAGTCAGACATATTATCTACGTCTCAAGAACAGGATGGCTGGCTAAGGCATTTTCAAATAATTTAAGTCTCACAGGAAACGAAAGATTTACTGATGATTCACAGATTCACTGAGTGATCAACATTACTTCATCTATTAAACCAGAAAAATACAATTGACTTGACGTCTCCTGAAGTAAAACCAACCTGGTCCTACCAACCTACCTGATTCTTTAAGTCTGCAGTCACTGTCATGGAACATCACTTTAACCACAGATTCTGAAACTGTGATACCTAGCCAAGATTATTTTTGGATCTTTTTCTTCCACCTGCCCTTCACCATGCCCAGCCTGATGAAAAGTTCTGTTGTTGTTGTTGTTTAGTCATTAAGTTGTGTTCGACTCTTCGTGACCCCATGGACCAGAGCACGTCAGGCCCTCCTGTCTTCCACTGCCTCCCGGAGTTGGATCAAATTCATGTTGGTGGCTTCGATGACACTGTCCAACCATCTCGCCCTCTGTCGTCCCCTTCTCCTCTTGCCTTCACACTTTCCCAACATCAGGGTTTTTTCCAGGGAGTCTTCTCTTTTCATGAGATGGCTAAAGTACTGGAGCCTCAGTTTCACGATCTGCCCTTCCAGCGAGCCCTCAGGGTTGATTTCCTTCAGAATGGACAGGTTTGATCTCCTTGCAGTCCAAGGGACTCTCAAGAGTCTCCTCCAGTACCACAATTCAAAAGCATCAATTCTTTGGCGGTCAGTCTTCTTTATGGTCCAGCTCTCACTTCCATACATCACAACTGGAAAAACCATAGCTTTGACTCTGTGAATCTTTGTCAACAAGGTGATGTCTCTGATTTTTAAGATGCTGACTAGGTTTGTCATCGCTTTCCTCCCAAGAAGCAGGCGTCTTAATTTCGTGGCTGTTGTCACCATCTAAAGTGATCATAGAGCCCAAGAAAGTAAAAATTTGCCACTGCCTCCATATCTTCCCCTTCTATTTGCCAGGAGGTGATGGGAACAATGGCCATGATCTTAGTTTTTTTGATGTTGAGCTTCATACCATTTTTTGCGCTCTCCTCTTTCACCCTCAATAAGAGGTTCTTTTCTCCTCACTTTCTGCCATCAGAGTGGTATCATCTGTATATCGGAGGTTGTTGATATTTCTTCCGGCAATCTTAATTCCGGCTTGGAACTCACCCAGTCCAGTCTTTCACATAATGTATTCTGTATATAAGTTAAAGAAGCAGGGAGACAATATACAGCTTTGTCGTACTCCTTTCCCAATTTTGAACCAATCAGTTGTTCCACATCCAGTTCTAACTGTTGCTTCCTGTCCCATATATAGATTTCTCAGGAGGTAGATAAGGTGGTCAGGGACTCCCATTTCTTTAAGAACTTGCCATAGTTTGCTGTGGTCCACACAGTCAAAGGCTTTTGTGTAGTCAATGAAGCAGAAGTAGATGTTTTTCTGAAATTCTCTGGCTATCTGCCATCAGAGTGTTCTGTGATGAAAAGTTCTACAGAACACTAAAAATTGCTTTTAAAAGATATTTTAATGGTCCAGAAAATGGATTACCCATCCTTCCTTCTGAACCCTGCAGTTTACTTTCATCAGCTTGGCCTTCCAGGTTTCAGAAAGTGGTAGCCAATTTTTACCAAGAAATAGCAAAACTCCCCGAGTGATCCCACACCGTCAATCTAGTTCCACCATCAGTGGAATCAAATAGATCTTAGTACATCCGACAGTTACTTGGCTGATACAAGACAAATCCCTCTGACACTGAGAGCAGTGAAAGTGTAAAAAAAAACATCAAAAGAGGCATACAATGCATATAATCTGATTAGAGGCATCACAGCTGTGTGAGTGGCATCACAGCTTGTAATGTGTTTATTGATGCTGAGAAGACACACTATAGTGGAGTGGAAAGGCTTTAATGGATTATGATTCTGTCATTGTTAAACCATGATCAGGAGAAGCCACAGGCGGCAAAAAGGTTACTATGCCAAGGAGAAAACAAAAGTGACAGGGGAATTGCTCGCAATTTCCACGGACAGATTGTATGAAATAGAAAGTAGTCAATACAACACTAGAGAAAAAGAGCTGTTGATGTTCCATTGTTGTGTTAAACCTCCTTTAACACTCAAAAGCACAATTGCTCTCAGTACTGTCCACATCTAGAACATCTGTCCCTTGCACTTCACACTGTGAGAATCACCTAGCAAAAGGCACAGTGACCATGTCTATGCTTTTTGGCAGCTGAATTTTCCAGGCCACCCTTCCCAGAGTGTCCTGGATAGCAAGAATTTGAAGGCAGGCATTCGGGAAGAGCCTGCTTTGGATGGCGTGAGTGCGGCCTCATCTGTGGGCAAGAAGGCAGGTAGGTGTCTCTAGAAGCCATCAACATCACCAACATTATTATCATTTCCTTCTCCTCTTCTTTCTCCCTCTTTCTCTTTGCACAACGGACGCGGGGGAGAGATACCGGAGATGCTTTACTCTTCCTCCTCTCCTGGCAACAGATTGCTCCCTTTGCCGGCACCTCTGATGCCACCTGCTATGGTACAGGGTGAGATGCCTTGGTTCCTCTCCAGATAGCGCAGCCAATTTCCCAAGGGAGAATACTGAGGTGAAGTGTGCACACACATACATGTTCACATAGGAGGTATGGGGAGGGCAGCAGTACCTTGCTTTTCACCTCACCCCAGACATGAGTAGGGTTGCTGTTCTTTTCACCTTGTGGCTGCAATTCCTCAGAAAATCTCACAATATATTGTAAAATGGGATGGGCAAAGCACAGGCCCAATATTGCCATGAATCCAACCTCCCCATTTTTCAACCTGTATCCTCTGGGAGTTCAGGGAACAAGTTCAAAATGTTTTCCCCTCAAAGCAGACTTCTGCTTGTGCAATAGGAGTTTCTTTTTCCCTTCCTTCCTGCACCCTCCTGAGACTTCCAAATGTTTGCTCCTGAGATTTCCCCAACCCAGAGCAGAGCCTGATGTGTACAGTGAGGTGTTAGGGATGGAAGAGCAAGCCACTCCATACATGGCATCTTGCTCCTCTGGCTGATGGACACCAGCGGAACCCAAAACTCTTGTTTTTCCTGCAACAGCATTTTGGACAAAGGCACAAGATGGGGGTTGACGTGCGATGCTAGTCACATGTAAGTCTCTTATCCAATGTTTTCATTCTGATGTCTGCAAAATATACGCCTCGGTGTCACCTAGTCTGTGGTTTCATAGTGCTATGATATCTATATTCAGGCTGCCATTTCAGCATTATGCTTCCTTTTCTGGAAGGAAGGCTGCGGAAAGACGTACTTTCTGGCATCCTCTGTAATAATATTTAGCACTCAAAAATACTGGTTAAAGCAAACAGGCAGGGAGTCATGATAGCTTTGCACATCTTCTTAATAATGAACACCTAGAACGTGGGGTTATTTATCTGAAATGTGGCGTTGAAGGAGAGATTTGCAGATACCCTGGATGGCCAGAAAGACAAACCAGTGAGTCCTAGATCAAATCAAGCCTGAACTATCTCTGGAGTAAAAAATGTTGCAGCTGAAGCTGTCCAACTTTAGGCACATCATGAGAAAGCAGGATTTTCTGGAAAAATATAATAATGCTGGGAAAGGCGGAAGACCGCAAGAAAAGAGGAAGACCTCAAAGATGAGATGGGCTGACTCCTTAAAGAAAGCCACAGGCTTGAGTCTGCAGGAGCTGAGCAAGGCTGTTGAGGACAGGCCATTTTGGAGACTGCTCGTTCATAGTCGGAGGCAACTTGATGGTACATAACTGGAACATTAGCCCACCACTGTGTGCCTTTTTGCCTACTGCGGTTTTCCAGAAGCACAGCTCTCACGCATGACTTAGTACAAAGAGCAAGAAGGCTTTCGTTGTTGCGCATGGAGCTGGCATGACGCGATGGCAGATCTTTTTCTAAAGGGCATAACTTAAGGCGTATTTTCAGGAAGATTTATGACTCCTTTAGATCCGATGGTGAATGTAACCACTTACCCACTTCAGTGCCTTTGCCCAGGGTAAAGGTTAAGCCGTAACCTTTGAGCCCATCAGGTGCATCTGTTTCTAAGACCACATAGGCTGCAGAATAGTCTGGGTCAGGGTGCTAAAGAAGAGATTATAAAGAGAATTTCGTTGCCAGCAATTCATAAAGTGTCAGGGCTGACCCTAAAGAGGACAAGAGTGGACCTGATGTCTTCAGCCTTACTGGGCGGTGGCTTCTGGGGGTCGTAGTCCCAAACTCAGCACCTAACAAACGTAACCACCAAAACCTTGTCGTGCAACTGTGCTCTCGGAGTCTAGTTACCCGACGGGCCGGTGTCGTCAACGCGAGGCTGCCTCAAAGAAGAACAAACATATCTGGAGCAATTCACTAGCCAGCCGCGGACGTCCTGGAGAGACCCGTCTTCCGCAAAGCAGAAAAAGCAGACACCCGCTTCTCTGACAGGAAATCCGCGCCCAGCACCCGGGGCGCCGCGCTTACCATGGCGTCGGAGCCGTGGTGGGCCAAGGACGTGGGGAAGCGGACGTCGCTGACGGCCAGGCCCGTGATCCGGCCTCTGCCCATCGCTCCAGCGGGAACTTTCCCCCACTCACCCCCGGACGGCGGCCCAGGAAGCGGCTGCTACCGGGGAAGGAAGCGCCTCCGAAACGTCGCTTGGGACCTGACGCGGTGAGGGGCGTTGACGGTCCCAAGGGCGGCAAATACGGAAAAGCCGCCAAGGACGCGGGCCGGGGGTCCGGAGAGGTTCGACCGAAACAAGCCCAAGGCCCCGCAGCAGCGCTTCTGTTTTTACTCGTGCGGTGCAGAACCTGCTGACGCCGGCTTGGCGAACTTCGTTCCGCTCCCTTTGGCGGGTCCGATAAGGACGGTGGAAGGGTGAACACCTGTGGCAAGCATTCGCCCTCGCTCTCTCTGAAAGGCAGGAGCCCTGAATCTGTTGCAGCAAAGGCCACGAAGAGTCTTGTGGCACCTTAGAAAAGGAGCAAGTTTTATTTCGCACAGGCCTTTGTGGTCTGTGGCCCATACCCTTTAGAGGCAGGGCCTACGTAACAACCTCGGAAAATAAACATCTGCCTTCTGCGGGTCTGCGCCATGCATATGAAGAATCGGTGTGCGTGTGTGTGTGTAAAATGTCCCATTAAATCTGAATCGACTCGCATCGATCCCAGTAGAGCTTTCCAGGTTATGGGATACATAAGGGGCTGGTTCCACTTCCACCGGGTGAGTTTCCACAGTGAAGCTGACATCTGAACTCTCATCTACTGAATCCTAGTCCACCGCTTTGTTCCATCACTGGGTAAAAACTGAATTACAAGTCACAAAATCTCATGCCAAATGAAACCACTCTTTAAGCTGCCACAAGATTCTTGCTTGTCAAATTTGACCCCTCATGAGGGTGAGCAGTTACTCAGGATGGTGAAGGACGGGCACCCCAGATATACTGAAAAGGAATTGATTTTGCTTGATTGTGATTGGGTTCGGAGTTCTTCTTGGGCAACTCCTCACTTTCGTCAAGGGAAATAAAACAGAAGACGTCTTAATAACCTTCAAAAGTCATTTTTTTTTTGTCACTCATCTTCTCCAGCACATTATTCATAGAATCAAAGATTCTCAACTCTGGCAACAGGCTGCAACTAGATGAACCAAAACTTTTCCCATACTCCCATGGACTCAATTGGAGGTGGGTTTCCCACGCCACTCCCGGTACATTGGTCTTTGGGAAGGAGTACTTCTCAGGGCGCAAATCGTCCCACAACATGAATGCCTCACCCAGCCTCGCTCGTCCGATCTGTTGTGGGCTATCTCAGTCTCTCTTTGTAACTAGCTTGCGCGGTGCTACGATGACAGTCCATTCCTTGGTTCGGAACTGGGTCGGCTTGTCTTCCCCCAACTTTGGGTCCAGCTACAGTCCTCCCACCTTCAGGTGGGGAAAAGTCACTCAGCAGCCCTTGAGTCTTTATGTACTCTACTTCTCTTCTCCGTGCTTCTTCCCTCTTTCTCTCATATTCTTCCAACACCGAACTGAACCAATGTACCCCCTCCTCTTCCCATACTGTCACCTCTTGCTCCGCCTTCCCCCCTCTTGCCAGACAAATCTACACCTTTCCCACCTTTCCCTTTAATTCAACTTCTCTCGCCTCCTCCTTCATAACTGTCACTTCTTTAGCCACCTTCTCTTCCTCACTTCTCCCATCCTCTCCTCCTTCTATGGTCTCTATCCTCACGGACAGCACACTCTCACACACTCCTCCTTCACAATGATTCAGTCTGAAGAAGTCTATTATTTGGCTGGCATTACCCCTCCAGACGTAGGTCAAAAGGTGCTAGCAAATAGTGACCAAAATAAGGTAATAGAACACCAAACTCATCCAATTCTGGGCAACAGCTAAAATTGAAAAGTTTTCTGCACACATTGCAAGCTCTAAATATTAAACCAGAAAAACCTTGCTTTACCATACAGAGAATAAAAACAGCACACCTTGCTGAATGAATGAAGAGTGTCTCTAACTCTGGATGGACCACCTGGAAGTCACTTAATAGACTTTGAAGTGAAGTAGGAAGATCGAAGAATAATCAAATAAAAATGGGGCTCCTTCAATACAGGGCAAATTTTCTGTGGCTGTGGAGAAATTCACTCAGTGCAGCACTTACAGTATGTGCATGCAGTTTATGCTGCACTATGTGTACAAAGGAATATCTAGCAAATGGCCAAGATAATGTTACAGAAGTACCCTGTTTTCCCGAAAATAAGACCTAACCTGAAATAAGACCTAGTATTTTTCAGGATGCTGGTAATATAAGCTCTACTCCAAAGAAGCCCTAGTTAAGTGAAACCCTGCCCCCCACCATTGTGCAGCATTCTGCAGCAACCAGGAGATGACATGACTGTATTTGAATAAATGTAGATTGTTGTACATGAAAAAAATAAAACATCCCCTGAAAATAAGTCCTAATGAGTTTTTGGAGTAAAAATTAATATAAGACCCTGTCTTATTTTCGTGGGGACATGGTAGCCCATTTCTGGCCAAAAACAATCTAATGAGCCTACCATTTTAATGTTATGTTTCATATACCGGTATGTGCAGCTTTAAATTGTGCAGTGCTCTGATACAACTAAAGAAAGAAAAGTGATACTCAAGGTGTTGCAACAAAGACTTTATCCTATATAAAGCGATAAATATGTCCAAGCTGGATTCTGAAAAGGAGGAGGTACTAGGGATCATAGTGTAAATATATTTTCAGAAGATCAGTCTATGCTTTATAGACTACAACAAAGCCTTTGAGTGTGTGGATCATGAGAGTCTGTGGATTGGCCTAATTATCACTTAAAGATCTATTATGCTGGCAGATTTGATCCAATTTTTGACCAAAAAATTATTATAGCCATTATTCTGGTGAATGGAAGGTAAACATCCTACGGTTTCGAAATCAGGTTCGAGACCCAAACAGAACTAAAGAATTGCCAAATGACTCCAATACAGAACAGGACATTTTCTGAAGAGAAAATATTCACTACACAATTGTTACACTTTGGGAAGTTTAATTATTCAAAAGTAATAAAATATTAAAAAATATTTCAGCTTGAGAACACAGCATGAATAGGTTTTTTTTTTTTTTTTTTAAAAAGGAAAGGTTACCACACAACATATCTTCAACAAAACTGATAGCTAAGGTTTGTGGTACAGTTTTTGATCAGAAATGTTACATAATTCTTTCCATTAAAATATCAAAATCATTCTTAAATGATTAACAATGATTACAGTACAGGAAGTGCTGGAAATACAATAAACGTAGTACTTAAAAACGTGTAAAAAAGTTTGTGTTATTATCTCTTATGTGTAGAAAACAGTATTTTGGTGCTTCTAAGGTCTTATTATACAGTGGCACTTCTATGTATTGGTGATTCTGGGCCTGGCTGTACAACATTGGCTGATGATATTGTGGCAAAAATCGCTGGTCACAATACACAAAACTGCACTTAAAAATGAAGTGAGGTTACATGGTAGTGGTTGACACATTACACTTAGTGGCACAACCTGTGAGGAACTTTCTCATCACAAGCCCCAATGATATGAATAGGAGCCATAAAGAAAAATGATGGCATCCATTCTATTCAATCAGGATTGTGCAGAAACTTTATCATGCTTGCTTGTGCTCAGTCCACTGAAGGACAGCCCAAGTTAAAATAACAACATCAGAAACACTCTTTTATCAGTCACAAAGGTGGCTGCTATGAAAGGAAGGCTGCTATCCTTCGCATTTGCTAATACAATTAGGAAAGAAAAGAAAAGGGGTCATTCCAAGAGCCATATATTAAACAAGCTTTGTGACGATCACTATGCCATCCATGAAGTCCTCTCATTAGCAGTCTTTTTTCTTTCTGGGGTGTTTGTGCGAGGAGTGGGGGATAAGGAATATAGTTCAGACACAATCTTGCCCTGATATTGTATACTGAAGGACCAGATCAGAGTGTCCACAAGTACTACTTATTCCTCCCAAATCAAAGAAAAGTTCAACAAATCAATAATGAATGTTCGTATTTTAACAAGGTACCTCATACATGTGTAGCAAAGCAATCATTTTTCCCCAATCAATGCAGAAGAGGAAATTCAGAATATGGCTACGGGGACTGATACATATGGGATTGACAAATTGTCTTGGGGAAGAAAACAGCTCTACTACTCTAGACAAACATTACTTGGTCAGTACATCATATCATCTGCAAGATGACTCTGAAGAATGTCAAATCTGTTAAAAATGCATAATAAAACATAGCTGAAATTATTTTAGAGCTCAAAAATGATCCTCCTGTTATGAAGATGTGGAATGCAATATACATATCTTTCGAGAAGTAAATTGCACTGACCTCACTGGGACTTACTTCCAGGTAGGCAAGCATGTAGAAGGACGCAGTATTAACAAAGCACTTTCGGAAACTTATGCAGTCATTTTTTTAAAAAATAAGCTTCTGTAATCAGGGTCAAGTTCATTTAAAACCAATTCTGTGACACGTATTCAACACAAGACTTTATAAAAATAATTACACTTTTAAACATATTACTATTTATAAAAAGTATGTGTCAACACTGAGTTATTTGCCAAAATAAGTTCCCATCAAAGTATTGAGGTAAAACACTATCAGCAAAATCATAGATATAGAAGCTAACCTTGCAGGTCTTTAAAAATGCATAATCATTTTTCATTAACAACTCATTTACGTTCACGTTTTATTATTTTTCTATACAAATGTTACAATGAATTGTTCAAGTTACCAATTAAAATTCAATCAGTGCCAGAATAGTTTTTTAGTCTAACTACCTGATAAACACGACTCAATTTCCCATTGTAAAATGTAGGGGGAGAAATCCCACAATTATTTTCTATCCAATCCCTTTAAAAGTTTCATAGTTAAGGAGTATAAATGATGAGGGAAGACGCAACATAGTAGCCCAATTTTATAAAAACAATTCTGGGAGAATTAAAAGTCCTGAACAGTTATATTTATTTCACCAGAAAGAAATCTGTATGATTTGTCCAATAATACTATAAAAGTAATAATAATTTTCACAGAAAAGCTTTGCAGTGCAAAAAAAATATTGTTTAGAATTGGCAAACTCTAACAATGCCAAGAGGATTTTATTGCTCAATATGTCAGATTATTCTAAATCTTACTCCCCAATATATTCTAGAGGCAATATATCATAGAATGCATTTTTTTGCAATCATATTTATGGTTTAATAAGGGAATTACATGCTCAGTTCAAGAGTCACACAGCCCTTAATATGAAAGGTTTAAACCTCACCTTTTAATAAGAAGAGCTGGGTTTCTTGCTATTCAGGTCTACTTCCTCATCTGACAGCTTCTTGGTGGGATTTTGGCTTTTTAAAAAGAGATGCACATGTGCCATTACTAATTCCCCACTAAAGACATTGGGTAGGACCCACAAAATAGAATCGTATGATCTGGGCATGCATGTAGGTGGTGAGGCAGATGGACGACTTTCACCCATTCCTCAACACCTCCACAGTCCCTGATGTCCAGAAAATCTGCTCTGAAAGGTTGGAGGCCCCTCTGTGCTGTGAATGCCTTTTCCCTTTTAGAGGGTCATTTCTTGGATACTATTCATTGTTTCTTCATGTTTTAGAATGTAGAGTTTTGTCATAAATGCTTTATTGTGGTTATATTTGAGTATTTTCTGAAGAAAAGCAGAAGTGCAATTAAGTGAATCCCTGAACTTACAACATACTTTGGAAGCTCTCATTAAGATTGACCATATCTCTCCTTTTACTAAATTTGTGCTTCCCCCACCAACCACAGACCTGGGGCACCGGAAACTTCATTCATTCTGGAAGGTTATGTATCTTGAAAAATTAAGGAAATTTTCTTTTTCTCTCTAATTGCATTTTGTGGCTTCAAGTTTGACTATTACTTTCCATTAGGATATAAAATGCTAACTTGTTTTTTTCAGTTACCTTCATCATTCTTAAACAAGAAGAAAAATCAATTCCCATATGCTACTTTCCAGTTACATTAACATAAAGTATCAACACAGTGCATTATGCTCCTCAATGCCATGACTGAGGTCTAGCATTTAATCAAGTTTATCATGAAGAATATTTTTCCTACTTTAATTATATCACTGTTAAATTAACCTCAAGCTTGCAATTGTAGTGATCTCACTTTAACTAAACAAAAGCACTACTTATTTTGCTCTGGACATTTGATAAAACTGGAATTGATTGGTCCCATCAATGTTCCTTGTTATTCTTTCAACATTTCTGTTCACAGCTAAAATATTTGAACAGGAAAAGAAACTGATTAGGAACCCCAATGTTTGGTGTGGTAGCATGAGACAGTAAGCCCAGGATTCATGGACACCCTGGCTTACTACAGATGATTTTGTACTGCTGTATGCTGTTTCATTGCTTCTGCACAGTGGAAGTAGCTAAATTGAGTAACCTTATTTTGTGAATTGCTCTGCCTTGATTTATTTCCCTCAGAACCAGAGAAACCTTATTTTGTGAATTGCTGTGCTATGAGAAACCAGACACAGCTGTTGCCTTGATTTATTTCCCTCAGAACCAGAGGCAGCACCCATGATCTAGCTGCTGTTGTTGTGTGCCTTTAAGTTGCATCCAACTGGATTCCAAAAGAGGAAGGCGTACTTAAGATCATATTGCAAATAACTGCTGGGTAATTTCAGAAGACCAGTCTATGCTTTATAGTCAACAGCAGAGCATTTGACTGTGTAGATCATGAGAAACTATGGGTTGTTTTGAAAGAAATGTTTATGCCTCAGCACTTGACTATCCTGATGCATAACTTGTATTGTTAGGACAATAAGGATGTGTCACTGGAGACCAAGGCTAAAATGATTCACGCTATTGTGTTCTCCATTTCTATGTACAGGTGTGAAAGCTGGAAGTAAAGAAAGCTGAAAAAACTGATTTGTTTGAAATGTTTTGCTGGAGGAGAGCTTTGTGGAAACTCTAGATTAGCAGAAAGATGAACTATTGTGTTCTCCATTTCCATGTACAGGTGTGAAAGTTGGAAGTAAAGAAAGCTAAAAAAAAAACTGATTTGTTTGAAATGTTTTGCTGGAGGAGAGCTTTGTGGAAACTCTAGATTAGCAGAAAGATGAACAAGTGGGTTCTAGAGCGAAACAAGCCTGAACTGTCTCTGGAGGCAAAAAATGACAAAACTGAGGTTGTCATACATTGGTCACATCATAAGAAGGTATTTAAAGGCAGCAGGAAAAGTGGAAGACCAAATATGAGATGGATTGACTCCATAAAGAAAGCCACAGCCTTAAATTTGCATGAGTTGATCAGAGCTGTTGAGGACAGGACCTTCTGGAGATTACTCATTCACATTCATAAGTTGGAGGTGACTTGATGGCACACAACAACACTAGTAGGGGTTTTAAGGTATGTGAGATGTTAAGGGCTGGTTTTACCAATGCCACCCCCTGCCACTGAGGTTTCATGGCCAAGCAGGGATGTTAATCCAGGTCTCCTAGTCTGTCACCCTGTCCACTAAACTAGCTCTCACTGTTTAGCTACCTCTACTAAAAGCAGAGTGACTAGACAGTAAGCACCAGCACACAGCTCATAACCAATCCTCCAGGGTTTCCATAATTCTTTGTCTTATTGTGTCATGTGAACTGGGCCTTTGTAATAGTAAAGCTTTTTTCACCACCCAATGTTTTCAGTATGTTTACTTTGGAACTTCATTCAATAAGGGAGAAAATATCACATCATTGATACATTTGAATATAACACTTTAAAAAGTGGTTCCCCATAACTGTATTTTCGAATTCCAGTTTGCCAGCCATCAAGAGCATGCAAATGGCGATTCACTTTCCTTTAAGTCCTTCCAATCAGCAAGGAATTTTTCTGAAAGTATTTTACATTTGGCAGCTTTGTGCATGGTAAGCAGTGAACTTATAAATTGTCTCCGGGCTGGTACTGTGGTTCTGTTGCTGTAAAATAGTCTTCTAAGAAAGACTGAATATATTCAAATGTAGGTCTTTCATCAGGATCTTTCTTCCAACACAGTTTCATTAATTCATGGAGAGATTCTGGGCATCCTTGAGGGCAAGGCATTCTATAGCCACGTTCCACTTGTTCCAAAACTTCTCGGTTCACCATACCTACAATTATATGATAGGGTTTGATGCTTGTATCCAACAGAATAAGGAAGATTTTTAACATTATCATTGCTCTTCTGGACTTTAAGTAAGTAATGCAAATTATCATTTGTGTAAGCTAAACTAGTAGTTCATGGGCCCACAGATGATGTTGGACTACAACCCTATAATCCAGAAAAAAGATTAATATTCATGTATGATGGGAACTGTGGTTCAACAACATCTGAAATCAGAGGCTGGGAACTACTGTACTAAAATATGAGTGGATTTAATGTACAAACCAGAATTCATTTGCCAGTCATGAATTGTTTGTGGTCAGCAAACCAAGATCTTAAACCAAAGTCTGATATAGGTTGTTGACTACAGTTTGTACTACTTGTGGTCTCTTGTTATGCATAAAATCAGACACTGTGATTTGCTCTGTCACTTCTCCCTCATGGTTTGCTTGGTGTCAGAATGGAAAAGCAGAATGACTGACAAATAAATCTTCAGATTTGACAAAGCTGTTGATGTTTTTTCCCCAAGCAGTTTCCTCTCTTCTCTCAATCTGACTGGGGGAAGTCTCCTTCCCCAGCCTGTCCCCTTTCTACTAACATATGCGTCTGCCAAAGGAGACATGTGACTGAACAGATGAAACATGCTCTCCTATCCATGATTCTGTTGAAGATTTTTTAAAATAATCCTGCATGCAATCCAACTTTACATAGGAAACATGCTTGTTTATTTCTATCTAATAAATCACCTCCTTTCTTTCCTGGAATAAGAAGATCCATCCTCTTGCTCTCCTAATTAGCATGCTTTATTTCTTTTCCTGGAATAAGAAGTTCCATTCTCTTGCTCTCCTAATTAGCATGCTTTATTACTCTTTGTATGTGTATGTTGTTGTTACCAAGATGCTTGAGAGGATGCACACTTGGTAAGTTTCTCCAGCATGGAATATGTGCATGTTGTTGTTACCAAGATGCTTGAGAGGCACACTTGGTAAGTTTCTCCAGCATGGAACTTTTTTAGTCACATGGCTGAGGGAGAAATCTGTTTTCCATTTTTTGCTTCTTTCATTTTTCCTTCCTTCTGCTAGCCTCTGATGCTTTATGACATCTACAGAGAGCAGTGAGTAAAACATATCTTAAAGGGGTGTTTGACTGGTTATTCTGCTGGTTACTGTATAAGCAACAATGCAGTATTCTTTTGCAGATCTTTTAAGACATTTTTTTACCTGGATATGGCACACGGCCCTTTGTTACAAGCTCTGTCAACAATATACCAAATGACCAGACATCAGATTTAATTGTAAACCGACCATATAATGCAGCTTCAGGTGCAGTCCATTTAATTGGGAATTTGGCTCCTAAAAAGGTGAGGAAAAAACAAACAAAACAACACCTTTTCTTAATATTAGTTATTTATGACTAACTGTTAACTGTTAATAATGCTTTTGGAATATTAATCTTTGTGGAAAAGATGTATTGGGAAAATTCTTTCTAAGTATTAAAACAATATTCAAAGATAAGAACTGATATGGATGTGTGAACAGAGTTATGGTATTTCTCATCTAACCTCCTCAAAATGGAATTTGCTCCAGGACAGTTGCAAAGCACCCCTTTGCTTTCCTGATCTGAAACTTAGGATTTAAATTGTCAGTGCAAATTGAGTATCTTGTGATCACAATTTTTAAAAAGCAAATATATTCTGGAAAGCTTATCTATCTAGTCATTATAATTACAAAGAGATGATGATAATGGTTGGCTTAGCGAGCTAAACAGACATTCAGTTCTTGTTCCAGACCACCTCTGATATCTTAAAACTGGATAAGGTTTGGGATTTGATTCTCTCTCCAGCTCTTAGCTCAGAAAGAAGAAGAGGACAGGCACTGTCCTTCACCAGCTGAGAGCTGAAGGTGAAGGAGGTCTGTCTATATGCCCAACAGGAAAGAGTGGAGGTGAAGGCATGCTTGTTTCCTTCTCTTTCATAGCTGATGGACGCTCCAGGTTGTTGTGCAAGAAGACAAGCCCACTTTCTCTTCTAGCTCTAAGATGGAGTTGGGAATCTGAACTCATCACAGATCTGTCTTTGTGCCTGGCAAGTACACAGCCGGAACAACTTGCCTTTGCATTCAGACTTTAAGGCTAGGAAGGGGCAGAATTTATTGTCTATCTGTTTTAGGACTAGGTTCCAAGGAAAAATAGGCTCAATTTTGCTTATCAAAGCCTTGCTCCCCTCCATATGGCTAGTGCTTGCCTAAGCAATATGAGGAAGTTAAGAAAGTGAGCAGCCTAATAACATAAGCTTATCAGTTAAGACTGAGGTTGTTACACCTATACATTCAATAAAACCATACAATGTGATCCTTTTGAACATTATCACTTTTGATTGCAAGTAGAAGAACAGCCTTTTAAACAGTATTTTTCCAGGGAAAGTTTCGAGAAAAAACACTTGAAGGGGAAGCCTAGATCACAACCCTTTTTACTGATGGGCCAATGTTCTACATAATAGGACATCAAAAGAATGCATGGCTCATAATCTGCCTACAGTCTTAAGGAGCAGAGTTCTGGACAGACCACAGCTTTGTTGAATATGTCGTCTGACTCAAATACGGCATTTTGGAGTCATCCTATAACTCCCTCTCAATATGCAATTTTTCAAAGAACCCGCTGAATGTTTAATTATGGCATACTGCAGCTTTTGATAGGGACCTGGAAAAGAGCCTTCAAATAATTTATTTGGAACATTTTCGCTTTTGTGAAGACAAACATTTATCCTTGGCAACTGATACAAGATTTACTTTACAATGTCTGAAAGCAGTTTTTAGAAAACCTGCTGGCTCTCTGAGTGTGACACCTTTGAAAGTATAATCACAGATGGGGTTCTAAATCTTAAAGCCTGTTAAACAGAGGAATTTCATAAATTTTGATTTCCACTACCGTGGGTGACAGCAAACAGAACATGCACACTTTCATACTCCTGACGGAATTTTAATAATACACATAGTACACTGTTGATTGAACTGGCTTGCACTGTTCAAGATGTCAGATGTAATTCTATGTATTAATCCAATAACTGAAGCTCTCTTAGCTTGTACAGTAAATGTATACCTTGTCTGGCAGTGTATTCATTGTCCTCTATTAACCTTGCCAAGCCAAAGTCTGCAATTTTGCACACCAGGTTGTCCCCCACAAGAATGTTTGCTGCTCGAAGATCTCTATGAATGTAGTTCATTCTTTCAATGTAGGCCATCCCGTCTGCAATCTTTAAAACATGTACATTAATAAAATAGTGTTCATTAAATGTTTAACACATGCTAATGAAAATATCCACTCTTAAATAGAAGACAAGAAAAGTTATATATTAGAGCAGACAGCAATTACCACTCTTTCCTTCATATTACCGAACACCATCACACTGTAATATAATACTAATTTAACAAAGCAGTGTCTCTTCATTTGAACAGATACCTGAGCAGCCATATCCACCAGCTGTGGAAGCTTTAAATATTTTCCTTCTCCTTCCTTAAGAAAGTCTAGTAAGCTACCTGCAGAAAGACATTTAAACATAAAATCAGATGCAGCCAGGATTGTTTAAAAAGAAAGAAACAAGTGGGATTACTCTGCAATATTCTTTCCAAAACATAAGAATGTTCCATTAATTCAATACACTAGTGACTTCACAAAAACTTCAAAAAATTCTGTACAGGCTTTATTACACTGCAACTGACTTACTGTAGGCACATTTCAAACACAAAATTCTGACTATCAATATAAAGTTAATTTACACAAAGAAATAATGTGTGGCCAATCAGTAGTAGAATTTTTTCAATTTCTTACAATGAGAAGATATTAATTTGCAACACCTTAAATTTAAATTGAACACAGGACCCCCCAAAATAAATAGTTTCAACTGCTTTATGAGGCATCAGGTATACGTAAGATGTGTCCTAAGAAGCAAGTAACCCAAGGAAAGGCATAAAAATATAATACTGTGGGTAGTGTTCAAGTAGTAGTGCTTCAAATTATGCCAAAGTTCAGATGGGTAAAATCAGCAGATAAGCATCACATGACCCATTGCTTAGATAAAGTGGAAGTACTAGGTCTTCTGACTGTGTCCAGCAATTATACCTTAACCCTTTAGGAGGCCAGGATGCAGGTGGAATATAGAGACAGTCCTGGACAAACTCTCTTAGACAGAATCTCTAATTCCCTGACAACACTGCTGGGGCAACTTGACTTCTTTTCCCTCCCTCCTGCTAGTATCTGCACAATGGCACTTGTTACATTCTTTCTAAGCAATAAGATGTACAATATGTTGAAAGAACTCTGAATTCTATGTGTTACTGTTGTGTGCCTGAAGAACTCAACTCTTATAGGTGCATGTATACCCAAAGTACAAAAACTGACAATGTAGCTCTCTCCAGATCTGCAAAGTAAAAGTTGTGGTTCTATCCTATATGTGAAATCAGACTGCATTTGACTTATAGGCTGTGTTTGCACTTAAAACTACTGTACAACTTTCCTTGTTACAGGGAGAAGTTGCAAGCTTTTGTACTTCCTCTCCCTTCTCTTCCAGCATGGCCACAAATGGGTTTACAAGCATATGCTTTCCTTTTCAACTGCCCACTATTTATTGTTAAGCCTGAAATGGCAATGGCAAATAGTATTTTCTATGGTTTGCCCAAGCAGGTCAAACTGTAATTGCAACTATATACATTCATAATACTGAATTGTGGATTAGTGTTAACAGGTGAACAAAAGCATAGTTTACACTTAATCCTTATTCCAAGTACTCCTAAGTAAATATTAATTTTATGCAATAGGATTGCTGTAAATTTTACATTAAAGATGGTACTAGCAAGTTTTTTGGTATAAACTTTCATGGATGGCAGCCCACTTCATCAGATATAATATTCCCATACGAATACTAATATCATTCACATATAACTGCCAAACGGTTCATGCATTTTCCCCCCTACTGAATGCCAGGCAGAGTTATTAAAGCAAAGCAAAGTTTGCTGCTTGTATATTGCACTCTCTGGGGAGTTTGCAATTTAATTATGTAGGCTACACATTGTTCCCCCATTGAGCTGAGTGTTCAATTTACCAAAGTCAGGCTGAATGGCTGAATCAACCTCAAACTGGCCACCCAGGTTGTGAGCAGAGTTTTGGCTGCAGTGCTGCAGGTTAACCACTGCACTGCAAGGCTCCTTAAAGCTATGGAAATACAAGAAAGAGAAAATGGAGCATTCTAAAGACCTATCAAAATTATGCAGTGAAAACTGCAGGGAGATATTTTAGGAAACTTCATGTTAACTTAATTTTTAGTCTGTTTTCTTGATTTTAAGCGAACAATTAAAAGCTAAGCAATGGAACTCATGATGCATTACTGTTTTCATACCTCTTTAAATACATACCTTTTGTCATGAATTCAGTGACTATGTAGATTGGTTCCTCGGAAACAACAGCATAAAGTGGAACAAGTTTATCATGTCTTAATTTCTTCATGATTTGAGCTTCTTGGAGGAATGCTTCTGGCATCATTGTACCTGGTTTTAGTGTTTTGATTGCTACTTTTGTGGTTCCATTCCATGTTCCTAGGGAAGGAGCACATTACACTGTCAGTTACGGTAGACAGGCATTGTCAGCACACTAATAAATAAATGGTATGAGAGAAGTGTCAATTACTTCCCCTTACTGCTTTTTAAACATCTTAAAAAACCTAATAAAAAGCAATCTTTTCAAGCCATATAAGCCCAGGTAGCTCTCCTCATCTGAGTTAGACTCTTGGTCAGTCTGGCCAGGACTGTCATGCAAGGCCTCAGGTTACCCAAGACCCCTTTTAAATTGTCAAATGCCAATAAGTGAACCTGGGCTGTTAGCAATAATACTTACCCATCCATACTTCGCCAAAGCATCCCTGGCCCAGCTTAACTTCTAACCGTAAGGATTCCCTAGGAATTTCCCAGGCATCTTTTGCTAAACCCTGTGTTTGAGGCTTCACAGTTGGACACACAGTTGTTAATTTATGACATAGGCCATCAGCGTGATCTGGTAATTAGAAAAATATTCCTTTTTGCAGCCATGCATTTTAAAACAACCACTTTTAAGTTATTTCCAGAAATCCTCTAATTTCAGAAATCCCAAAATTGCTCTATAGGATTTAAGAGATTTAAAGCTCACCTGTATAGTGTTTGACAAGCTTTTGTAAAGATTCAAACTGTGCTCTAGTTGTTATGTAATATCCACCATTATCAAGTTTTCTAATCTTGTAGTGTTTCACATTATCACCTCTGACCTCATCCCAGTCCCGTATGGAGAGGGAATAAGCACCTAGGGGGCGAAAAAGTTGTTTATAAACAAAAGAACAACTGTCTTTCATGCTATGGGAAAACAAAAAACTAAAAATAGATACCTTTAGTGGTTTCACTCTCTCGGACTAAGAAAATACCACGCTGGTTCCCAGGATTTAAAAGCAATCTCTCTGCATCTTTTCTGCCCATCTTACCAAAATACCATCTGGAGAATACAAAGGACAAAATAAGATGAAGTAAATTTTGCAATATTCTGGTTAATGCAGCACTATAAAGATAATAGGGGACATGGTGGCGCTGCGGGTTAAACCGCAGAAGCCTCTGTGCTACGAGGTCAGAAGACGAGCAATCGTAAGATCGAATCCACGTGACGGAGTGAGCTCCCGTTGCTTGTCCCAGCTCCTGCCAACCTAGCAGTTCGAAAGCATGTAAAACTGCAAGTAGATCAATAGGTACCACCTCGGTGGGAAGGTAATGGCCTTCCGTGTCTAGTTGTGTTGGCCACATGACCACGGAAACTGTCTACAGACAAATGCTGGCTCTACGGCTTGGAGATGGGGATGAGCACCGCACCCTAGAGTCGGACATTACTAGATTAAATGTCAAGGAGAACCTTTACCTTTACCTATAAAGATAAGAGCTTCTGAATGAATGAGACTATTGATTTATTGAGTCTGTTTTAGCTGGCACCTAAAATAGGCTCGGTGCAATATAATACAATGCAGGCAAGAATCTAACATTTGGATTAATGAGATATTCATTTTTATGTGATCTTATAGTATGTCTTTATTTTTCCTAAAATAGAGCTGGAATCCTTTCTATTGGAACAAGAGTCATCATTTTCTTCTACTTGGCCAGCAGAAGAAACAAGGAATGCTTTCACAGCCACCAGAATCACCCCAATTATGTTTCCCACTTTAATTCTCCCCTGGAAAACAGCAACTTCTACGGGGTACACTGCTTCTTTAAAATAGATATGACACCAAAACTTTGTTTTATTCAAAGTAATGTTTTCTTCCAAAGCTAGACGTGGATTTTTTCACTCAAGAAGTGATCTTCTGTCCTCCAAGTAACATAGAAATTAAACAGCTATCCTCAAAACACAATTCCACTTTCCTGCCATTTGCACAAAACACAGAGAGAACAATGGTGCTGGTTACTAGCATGTCTCTTTCTTTCCTTGTCCTTCATATAAAAGGTAACAGCACCTTGGATTGCTAAGGCTGAAGGTCAATGGGCGATGTACTTCTCCAAAGGTTCTCCACCATTCTCAGAGTTATGCTTTCAAATCTAAATGCAGTTCAAGATCAGTCGGATGCACTCGTTATTTGCAGCAGACATAATGTTAGGTTCATATTGTACTGAACAATAATTCGTTCCATCAAAATGGTTCAAAACCTGCTGTAAATGGTGTTCATTAATAACTCAGCTCTAGCTATTCTATATATGCACAACCTAACAAAAATATCAAGAGCTGCACATGTAGATAACAGACCTCAAGCAGTACTAAGCAGTCCTAAAAAATTAAAATATTCCTCACTCACAACAAACCCATTTACACATATACAGCCACAGCCTCTTTAAAATATAAATAAAAAGTGTATGAGATTAGTTTCATTATGTCTTTTTACAGGCATTTAGACTAGAGTCATCTCATATCTTTAGCCCATAATTCTGTTTAAAAGTTATGGGTGAAATGACTGACCAAGGAAGTAATAATGCCTTACTCTTCTGCTTGAATCGAATCTGCAGGAGCAACGTAATTGCTAGGAATGTAGCCGGTCTTTCCTGTTGCAATGGATCTTGCTTCCCACCAATCTCCTTCCCTGTGGCAGAAGGGAGCGTAGTTATGTTCAACACATCTAAACAGTAGATGACTTTGTGAAGCACAATAGTATCAACAGATAACTCTCCTCAAACTTAGTTTACTTTAGTACAACACAGAAATGCAGGAAGATATATAATATAATACAAAAATGTGGGAAGATTGTAACAACTGATTGGTTCTCTGTGTTACATAATGTCATATAGGAAATGACTTACAACCACCCTAGAAGGATTTTCAAATTAAGATATTTAAGGAGTTGTTTTACCAGATCCACTGCCCACGTGAGTTTCCATGGCCAAGCAGGGATTCGAACCAAGGTCTTCTGAGTCCTAGTTTGTAACTCTATCCATTATAACACATTAGGTAAATACTGCCCCACAAATAATAATAATAATTCATATAGGAAATGACTTACAACCACCCTAGAAGGATTTTCAAATTAAGATATTTAAGGAGTTGTTTTACCAGATCCACTGCCCACGTGAGTTTCCATGGCCAAGCAGGGATTCGAACCAAGGTCTTCTGAGTCCTAGTTTGTAACTCTATCCATTATAACACATTAGGTAAATACTGCCCCACAAATAATAATAATAATTAATTAATTTTAACACATTAGGTATTGTAATACTGCCCCACAAATAATAATAATAATTAATTAATTTTGCACTGAGGAACAACAGAGCACAGTAAAAAGGAAAATGTTCAATGACACATCTGCTCAACATCTGACCAACAGCATATAAAGGTAGGTCTGAGATGAGTTTTAGCTTTCACCCGCAGCTTAAAAATAAATAAATATAATAAAGAAAAATTTGACAGAGGTATGGTGGATGAAAAATCATTTTCATACAGTGGATCAAAGACAATCATTTTCAGAAGGGGAGAAAGCTGTTCAATCTTTTACACCTCCTCTGCATTCTGAATACTCTAGGACAGGAGTCTCCAAACTTTTGAGCATGAGGGCCACGTCATATATTTTCAACATTTTTGAGGGCTTTAGGAACATGAGCACTCATTCGTAAACACACACACCCCATGGGTGCCCCCCTGCTTGCCCTGTATGCCTGCCCCCCCAATGGAAGCATGGCAAAAGACATGTGGCAAAAATGGATCCCTCTTTGCCACCTTCCCAAAACATTCACATGAGTTGTTCTGGATGCAACAGCTGCCTATTATTGACTCATTTTATTAATGGGTAGCCATCCCAGCAAGGGACATGCATGTCTAACAAGAGTGCAAAGGGATTCAGCCTTTATTCGAGACAAAGGTAAATGAGAATATATTTACGTGTTATTGATTATCTGGAACCGTTCACCCTTCTTGAACGAAAGGTCATCTGTAGTTCTGGCTTCATAGTCATATAAGGCCACAAAAACAGTAACACCACCTTAGGAAAAGCAAAATTATGGCAATCATGTCGTTTGCTAAACATGAAAAAGAGATGAAAAGCTAGCACACACATATCAAGCACACAAAAGCATTTCCCCAACTTTGCTAGGAAAATAAAATAGAAGTTCTTATTAAACAAGAGAAATGTTTGAAGATGTTTTAAAATGAAACTAATATTTGATTTTCAATTATTAATTTAAGAACTAAATCCTGACTAGCTTAGATTACTAAAGGCTGACAAGAACAAAAGGTAAAATGCAAGGTCTAAATCTAGTATCATGATAAAACGTTTTCCCTCTTTCCTCATTGTGCAGCTCTGGGCACATCCTGGAGACTGGGTCCAGGAGATCTCCCCTGGGGAAGAAAGACTGCCAACCCTTCTGATTCTGTTGACAGAAGCAGCTACATCAGTGGACATGCTTCACTGAATTGTTGCCCTAGAGCAGTGGTTCCCAACCTTAGGCAACCCAGGTGTCCTTGGACTGCAAATCTCAGAAGCCTTCACCACTAGCTGTGCTTGCCTGGGGTTCTGGGAGTTGAAATTCAAGAACACCTGAGTTACCCAAGGTTGGGAACCACTGCCCTAGAGTATACCATTCAGTAACATGGATCTGAACGAGCAATCTGATTTTTCTTTTAACAGAAACCACTGAACATATAAGTCTTTAACTACCTCCATGCCTTTTGTATTAGACACTTACGCCGAATACAGATGATCATTGCTGCAGAGAGCCTTCCTGTTACTACCACCATAGCACAAACCGAATCCAGCAAAAGTTAACAGAATTATTCAAACATAATGTGGGGGATGAGCGGGAGGCTGGCTGCAGAGGTGGGAAGGAGCTGAAGGGACCTTTTTAATTTAGCAAAAAGATTGATATAATTGGGGCACAGTGTATGTTGTAAGTATTAGTAAATGAAGCTTGCATATAGAGAATCCATATGCCTGGCAGCTACAGGAAGCTCTCTATGTTCCATCCCCATGTATGGCTTAGCTTGTTCTGTACTGGAATGTTAATCTCATTATGAGGTAAACTTTGCTTATTATGTGCAAAGGTATCTTATTTTTAGAGTTTTCTAGTCATCAGCATGTCTTGAATGATGTGCACGCCAAACTTATATTTCCTGAAATAAACAATATGTGGGAAATATCTCTGCTTCTATATTTTTCCACATCAACCTTTTAATTTCTAAAAACTGGGTTTCATAAAGTTATGCATCAGTCAAAGAGGCAAAATAAAAAATCATCACTGATTTTTTCCTCCTTAGTTGTCCCTGGGAAGAACACCCATTTACATTACACAGACACACAGTTCAGTAAGCATGCTTATTTACAAACAGTTTCAAAACTTTTAAAAGACAGCACTGGGGTTTTCCAATTCTTTTTTTTCCCCAGAAGGCTTATATCACTTCTGAAACCAATAATTTTTCAGATACAATTTGAATTCTTTTTCTTCAGAGTAAAAAATATAGAAAAATCCCAGGCCTGAATTTCCTAAGTATAAAGGTGTTTTGGTGTAAAAACTATGACATTTCACATTTATATTTAGGTTAAACCTTAATTATTATAGTTTAACAATTTACAAGACAACTGGACCACGTAAAATTAAATTTTTTGATGCAGTAGAGGACTAGAGTTTGATCCTCATATATCTTATTTGTAGCAGTGTAGACTTCAGTGTTGGGAAGTACAGTGGTGCCTCGCTTAACGAGTGCACCGTATAGCGATGTTTCCGTATAGCGATCCCTTTTTCGGGATCGCTATACGGAAACATACCCGATCTTCGCAATGGGGAAAACCCGCATTGCGAAGATCGGGTATTGCGGTGGCCATTTTGGCAACTCTTGATGGTACTGATGTCTTGAATCTGTTCACTCAGCACAGAAGGAAGAAGATCATTGTAGCGGACTAATTTTCTTTAATGTATGAGAAGGGAAGTGTTCTGAAAGTGGGAAAAATTCTCATTTGGAATCAGAAGTTGGGATGTTGAAGTGGAGCTTTACTTGAAGTAGAAGAATCTATACCCTCACCCCCCACAAACTTGGAATAACAGCACATTCTTCTTTGGCAGTGCAGATTTCAACCCTACCCCAACCCCAAATTAAAGTCAGGAATAAAATGGGGATCATTGAAGTTCTCTTAGATATCTCCACTAAGATTCATATCCAGATTGCATCCATCATGAATACCTTTATTAAGGGAAAAAAGCAGGCTGCCAGCACCTGGAATCCTCGCTGAATGGGTAAGTAACGAAGGTATTGGAACGCATTAAACGAAGTTTAATGCGTTCCAATACCTTTCCCCTACCCGTTTAGCGATGATTCCGTATAGCGAGGGTTAATCCGGAACGGATTACCCTCGCTATACGGGGCACCACTGTAGTTTCTCTTCTCCCATATACAATCATACAGTACAATTACATAATATATTTTTGATAAGAGGCCATAGCAAGATAGGAAAAAAAACACAGAGAAATAACACACTTCATGAAACTTTAAGCTTAGCCAATTTCTTTCCTAAGGGAGTCTGTATCTAATATTATTTATGAAATTGTGCTCACCTGTTAAATTAGTAGGATATGGACATGGTGCAGAAGGAAATGAAGAAGATGCTCCTCCAAAAGGTGTCATACCAGATGGGCCACCAAAAGGAGCCACGGAATGGCTGTTGAAATTAACTGATGATCCCTTTACTGAAGGTGACTGGTTTGCTTGATTTGAATCTGATCCATAATGGCTTGCATGAGAAGCAATGGGTTCTGAAGTATTCTCAGTCCCGTATTTCATGGTAGGACCTTTATCTTCTTTACTTTTAATGCATCCCATGGTCTTTCCTGTAGAGGAGAAGATAGCATCACTTCAATGTGACAATATTCTAATCAGATCCTATTCCTTAACCAATTGAAGGGGCTTTTGAAATAAACTGAAACTCCAACTGCTGTACAATTAGACACATTTAATTCCTAAAACTGAATAGACAATAGGCTCCAATCTATGCTTAATATGTAACAGGCACACATAGTATAGTTCAGCTTTTATAACTTCTGGGGATGTGATTTCTGGGACTTCCGAATCTCCTTGCTGGAACACAACAAAGAAATACCAATGCCCGTTGCTCTTTCAGTAGGTTGGAAGAAGCAAAAAAGAACCAAGTAGAGTATGTCTCAAGGCAAACCAATATTTCTATTCATGTAAAATCTTTGGTGTATTTTGTTGTCACTAGGAACAAAATCCTTTTGGTGCCTTGCCTGGGCATATTTCCAGAAGTTAGGTTACCAACTGGGAGAATCACCTACACAACATGTCCATCAATAGATTCTCTGCCAAGTACTGTATAGCTGCCATTTGGCATGTAGAGCAATCTGGCAAATTAATCCTTTCCTGGTACAAAATGCTACTTTGAAGGTGGCGCTCTACCACATATTAAAAAGTCAATGGCTACAGAATGTAAACACATCAAACCCTCTATTCAAGGTCCATCATCTTCCTAAAACTTACACACTGTGAAGCATTTGCCCCCATCCCAGGCCTAAGCCCTTTGTTTCCCCCACACATTTTAAAATTCAGAAACCACAAGCAAGTAAGGTATAAACCTGAGAATCACCTCAGACCACCTCAAAAACAGATCATTTTGATCAGTCCTAATGTGCACAAAAAATATTTTTAGGCAGATAAAGATGTGAGGTACTGGCACACCCCAATATCGCTTTACCCATACTGTATCTATATATCTCTATGGCCACTAGGTGGCACAATGTGCTTTTTCAGTTTTGTAACAAAATTCTCTCTCTTTTTGGCAAAGAACTCACAGAAAGGGGGGGGGCAACCTTCCAGGGATGGACGGCTATGTTCCCCAGACCTCTGGTGGTTGTTTTAAGACATAAAGAGTACTGACTACAGTACTTTCAATACACACTTTTCTACTGTACTCTCAAAATAACTATGTATCAACACTGTTGCTAGACAGTGGTTAATATCCAGTCTGTATCTGTTTGCCACAAAATCTATGTCTGATATAACAATATGTGGGATGTATGCAAGTAATTCCCATTTCAATAGCACTTTCCATCAAGGAACAGACTGCTGCTTTTGTTGTTGTTTGAATTAAAAAACATTTGAGAAGGTGAGTTCCCACAGGGCAAAACTGAACAGATTTCAATACAATCACATTTATGGATTAAAGCTAATATGAACAACATTAAGATACAGAACATGCAGGTGCAGCTCAGATTGGGCTTGGATAAACCATATAGTAAAATAGCTATTAGACACATATAACATTAAACTATGTAGTGTTCACAGGAATAAAGTATGGATGATCCTTGATTGTGATCAAGTAAATCTAAATCTGAGTTTGTTTTTTCTGCTGTAGGACAAATAAAAGAATCCCTATTGGTCTACAGACGCTTTTCAGGAGTTACTCATTATGTTTCATATGTGAAAGTATCAAATTATGTCTGCAGATAAAATGCTGAAGATTTGTTGTACTGTTACGTGTTCTCAAGTCACTTCTAATTTATGGTGACCCCATGAATTAGTGACTCTGAAAGGTCTTTATCATTAAGAGCCGTGCTCAATCTTGCAAACCCAAGACAGTGGTTTATTTATTGAATCAATCCGTCTCATATTCAACCTTCTTGTTTTCCTATAATCTTCAACACTTCTCAGAACTGCTGACCTTTCCAATTACCGTAGTCTAGTCTTCTCACGATATGCCCATAGTACAAGAGCTTCAAATTACTGTAGTAAGTTTTGCTTCTAGAGAGACTTCAGGCCTGACTTGATCAAGCACCAACTTATTTGTCTTTACGGTGGTCCATTGTATCCATAAAGCTCTCCTACAACATTTCACGTTTCTGGTGAATTGATTTTTTCCCCTGTCAGTTTTCTTGACTGCCCTGCTTTCACATCCATACTGTACACAGTAATCAGGAATACCACAGTATAGACGATCTTGGCCTTGGGCTTCCTATGTTACATCCCTCTGGGATCTTTCACTGTTTCTTAACAGCTGCCCTTCCAAGTATGTAACTCTTCATCTTTCATCGCTTTTTGTACTAAAGACGATGTAGTGTTTATAATTTGTTTATTGAATTTCATTCTTGATAGAACTGCACATTTTACTAAGAACTGTTTTAATAGTTTTCTAACAGAACTGCACATTTTACTAAGAACTGTTTTGTAGTTGAGGGTAACTGAACTGAACCCACATAGGAAACAAATATTTGAAAGGTTACACATTAATAGCTTTAGCTCCTATTTTTCACAATGCACCATTTTTTTGTCTTTGAAATTTATATCATTTAACATAGTTTGTCTATTACTAATAGGAGGCTATCAATTTTGCTGATTTTACCACGATTAACCCATGAAATTGGATAACTTAGATTTATAGGAACAGTATTACCTCCATTATAATGAAATAGAATGATATTAGAATAGTAATGCTCACTGTAGTCTCTTGATGTCCTCTTGTTCAGAATACATAGCAGTGGAAAAACCTGTTGTACTAGATCTGTTAAGGGGTTCAAGACCTGGATGTGCTATGGTGCCACCAACAAAAATACATATGCTGGCATTATACCCCAACACATTTAGCCAGATTTTTGCTTTCTATTTTTATTCAATGCCATTGAGCATACAATTTAACATGGTTATTACATTTCAATCCATTTGCCATTTAAAAGCACAATACTTTCCCCACTAGGAGAAATGGCAACTTTATATGTTATGCTATGTTAGACAACAGGTGCCACATAAAGACAACATTGTACATCTTTATCTGAGGTATGTACAATGTCTTGTAAGTATCTTAATTGTGTAAAAGAAGTCTCATTTTAAACTTCATGCTAAGAATATCTGTTTGGAAACTATATTTAACATTTGTCCTTTCCCTTTGAAAATGCAGTCCCAGGGAATGCATAATTATAACTCAGGGAATGCATAATTATAACTAAAAATATTCAAATGCATTTTAATTACCTTGAAGGTTTTAAAGTACACTTAAACACTCTCCCCTTCCCACTCTCTATGTTTTACAGATTTCTACCCACAGACATTAACTCTCTTTAGGAACTGTCAGCAGCATTTTAAAACGCACAGTAAAAATTCACAAAGGTACAGGATAATTATAAAAGACATTAGACACAAGCTAATTTATTTTTGTGGTTATAAGAAAGTAAATGCTTAACTTTTCCACTGGAAATGAATGGGAAGCATAAATTGCCTCAGAATCCATCTGCTTTGCATGGGTAAAGCAGTCTGCTGCCATCTTAACTTCTATGGCTCCAATCTAAGGCATCCTGGGCTTTGTAGTTTGGTGGGGACTTAAAATTCTCGTCAAGAGAGCTTTAACACCTTCTCCTGAACTCCAGAAGAAAATTCTAGGAATCTCACAAGATTATACATCCCAGGCTGCCAATGGATAGAGTCAACAGAAATGCTTTCAAATAGGGAGAACTTTATAGCATTTATAGAGTGCATGCTTTCTTGGAAACATGTTCCACTGAGTTGACTAATAGTTATTCTCAAGTAAATATGTAGAGACTTCCTGTCTTGCATTTTTTTTTGCTGCACTGTATATAATAAATTGGTCTGCTTGTACGATTTCCATTAAAGTGAATTTAGCATAGCATAAAAAGGGAGCAAAGACAGAAAACAAAATATCATATGAGCTATGAAGGGAAGCATGGTTGAACATGCTCTAGGCCTGAACAATATTTTATCTTTATTCTTCATTCCTGTGGTAGTATTGAAGATGATGTATCATTCAATTTTTGCTTTTTTATTTATCTTCATTTTAATGTTTGGCATACAGCCCAATGACAAAGGTTTGCCAGTTAAGGGGAGTACTGAATCTGGTAGGAGTCACTTCACATTGGTCAAATGTCAGATATGACATCACTCTGAAAAATATGCTGGCAGAGCACCAGAAATATGTCACTAGAACAATCTGACAGCAAAATGGTGGAACCTATGGTACAGACAGGGGTGTGTACATAAATTTCCCCAATTTTTCCATCACTTAGAACTCACGTAGATCTCGATCTGTTCAGTGTGAAGGTCTGAAGAGAAGAGTCTGAGATTGTAAACTGAACATACTTGTTGAGTTCCTGTGACTGGAAACCCTATCTTACTACAGTGGCTGATCATGACACCTCTATAGTATATTCAACCAAATGTACATACAGTCCTCTGCAGAAATTCACACACTCAATATTGTCAAAAACCTCTGACTGGTAGGTCTTATTTACACCTCTATGTTGAATACAGCAAAATGCCTTAATGAGACTCCTATCTTTTAGTAAGGACCTATTTGAAGTATACTATCAGCAGCAGCTATATTCCACAGAGATATCTCCCAGAGGTTCCCAAACTTGGGTCCCCAGATATTCCTGGACTAAAAATCACAGAAATCCTGACCAACACAGCTAGGGGTGAAGGCTTCTGTGAGTTTCAGTCCAAGAATATCTGGGGGCCCAAGGTTGAGAACCTCTGCTCTAGCCCCATCTGATGCTCACTTAAAAGCTATGTGTTGGCTCCTTCTCTCCTATACTAAATGTTCCTCACATGTGGGGGGGGTGTCATTCCATCTGCACAGTAGTTTTATATTCTGAAACACAGCAATTCTATACTCCAAAATGTTGGGTGTGAGTAAAGAACTACTTGGTTATTTTTAGTAATACCTGACTGTAAATTCAGTTACTTTTGTGGCGATCACAAGCAGTTTACATTGATACTGCCCATCCTTGCAGGTTTCTGGAATACAGATGTTACCATCAACATGATCTTAGATGCATGTTAAAGACTGTAAAATATTTACTGATTTATTTAA